CGATAGTTAATAATTTGACCATTGTTCAATAAGATGTTAAGAGGTTTTCTCTTCTTTTGATTTGTTCAACATGAACAATAAAATATTAAAATTAACATGAATTTAAATATGAGTTCATTAACTTTTAAATATATAAATTATCTATTTTTGTTTTCAACCTGAGTTTTGGTAGGAGATAACTCTTGTTTTGAAGAATACTTGTTAAAAATATTTGCATTTTCATCTCTTGCAAAATAAAAAAAAACCATAAATTGAATATAAAAGTACTTTCTAAAAGAATTTTAATGTATCATTTGTATAAGAATTTAAAATAAAAAAAAGAATATGACATACCATAATTTTTTACTTGTGAAGAACTTTTTTCTATTTCTTCATGTTATCTGTTTCTAGATTTGTTAAAATTGAAATCTTTATTTATTAACCTATTATATATAAGTATTTGAATATATTAAACCTACAAATTGTTCTTCAGAAAAGAACTCAAGCATAGGATCTCTAATGAAAATACGAATGAAGAATAATTATTTTTATACTACTTATTATTCAAATATCATATTAAAGGAATTTGGTATCATTATTACTTGCTTAGCTTGTTAATCTACTTTACTAGTTATAGGAAAAAGATTTAAGTTTAAATTTTCAAGTTAATGTGTCACTTATGTAATAGGAACACTATTGCATATTGACATGCTTTGCATGTGTGACTCTTATACTTCAGTGCGTGCAAGTTTACTCAATACAAGTTAATTTAGTGATTTAGTTTAGTTATTAAAATTTTAATTCTACAGTGAAAAGTACTCATTGATGTTCTTATATTAACTTGATATAGTTATTTATAAGTCATCATTTCTTTAAATATTAATTATTACCTTCTTTTTTAAAAAACAAATATAATTTTTTTAATGAATATTTTGCAATGTATAAATATATTGTGTCAATAATGCGTAAATACATTATATATGTTTTTCTAGTCGTCCTTAAGCTAATAAATTATTTTAATAGTCATATGTGCAAGGAACCCATAATTCTATTTGAACACTTAGTTGTTATTAATATAGAAGATTGAGACTAATTCTTTATATAATTGTGTCTCATCTATTTGTTATATATGTTAAAATTGAAATCTTCATTTTATTATATTTAAATGTCTGAACAAAATATAGCTACAAAGTTTATTAACAAAAAAAACTAAAACATAGAAACTAAAATAAATAGACGATAAGTTTTTATATATTTATTAATGAAACATTATATTATATGAATTTTGTATCATTACTACTTACTTTCCTTGTTAATATTGGTTGATATGCTAGAATTTAAAAAAAATTTAAGTTTTACAACTTCAACTAAATATGTTATACTTCATTAGTTAGATAAGTCTTGCATATTGACATAAATTGCATGTATGACTCTTAAACTTCTATACATGCAATACCACCATCATATCAGCGTTGTGACACCCTTACTACTTACTAAGCAATAAATATAAATACAATCATAAAATAACTAAGCAGTAAGAACATCACATGCATGGGTATAGTGAAATTAAATACATTACCATTACTAGAAGTCTTCATTTCATACATACACGTCATCTGTTAATTTATACAATCATCCAGTTATCTAAATATATACATAACTGAATTACATACGAAATAAAGTGGGGTCACGATATCAGAGATGACAACCCAAAACGAAGACCTCACGAGCTTTCCCCTGGATCCATGATCACCAAAGTGCCCATTTCCTCCCAAAATTCAACAACGGTAAGGTTAGGCTTCCTATATACCCCTTTTTCTTTTCAGTCAAAAGTACTTACACCTACGTATATGTATAGATTATTTCTTACTCGACTCTATCCTACTCTCCTTTTCCACTAGATTCCTACTAAGAGGAGGTAAAATTAGGAAGGAGTCCTGCTTGAGAAGCAGTTCTCTTCCTTCCGATAGCAGTAGAGGTGTTTGAACAGTGAGAAGAATCAAGAGAGTCTGAAGAACTAAAGGAAGACGAAGAGGAAGTGGATGAGATAGAGATAGGTCTTGCTAAAAGTGTGTCAACTAAACTAGTCCGTTCAACAGGTGGTAAATATGGTATAGAAGGACGTAAAGGTCTAAGGAAACCTGGGGGTAATACCGGGGGTGATAATACAGGGACAGGAGGTGGGGTAGGGGGTCGCACAAACTATACATCTGGAGGAAATGGAAAAGTAAGTCTCATGGGTACTCGGATGGGGATAGGGTAAGCTCGTGGGCCTGGCCCATTTCTATCTAACAAAAAGGTAATAGATCCAGTGTGGGTGAATCGTTGTTGCTCCCAGTCGTACACCCATATTTCCTCGGGATCATATCTGATCGAGACGCTGAATTGGTACGGTGGTCGAGCCATCAATGTTCTTACCTAATAAACATATTCACACACAACACACATAGCAATAAAAGGGTGAGACAATTCGATTCAATCTCCAGCAGCAAAAGACATATAAGGGTTTCAATCACACACTTAATTATCAACACCCATAATCTACCAAGCAAATGCATATGCCATGAATGAGAAATGATGCAAGTCTATTATTATAACTTAGTACATTTTGACACATGCATGTGGGCCCAGAACCATCAATCTGTTTCTTTTACTCAGGGAAGGATCAGGAGTTTCACTGTTACTTAACTGCCAACTTTGTTAATCTCATAATACAGTAACAGCTCTACTAATACAAGAATCTCTCGGGACCAGTCAGGATAGTAAAGTTTTGCAGTGAGAGTCCACAGCACAAGGTGGCGAGCCTTGGCCACTGTCAGATTCAATCACACGTCACTATCCCCAAGACTACCCTGGAGCCGCCCCTAGATTTCTTATACTTCCCTGTCCACTCATCACACTATCACATGTTCATGATGCATGTCTTCATTCCTAATTAATTTAATTAGAGAAAAAATTTAATTTTTCTTTTTTGTTAAGTACAATCCTTAACTTTTTCTTTTCTCAATGAAATTCGACAGAGTCTCCTCTGTAAATCAGATATTCCAAATTTTTCTTCTTCCTGTAAAACAACCAGAAAAAAATCTAGAATACTTCTAATTCATTAAATTCCACCTCCATCACCTCAAAATCCAAGAAAATCGTATCTTCCCCTCTTTCTTTAAATATGTTTTCATGCTTAAAAATTGAGGACTTAGTCATTTTTAAAAAAAATTATTCAAGCCTTCCAAATATCCAATACTACTTTCTCAGTAATATAATTTATTTATTTATTTTTATTAAATCATTTTCCAAAGAAGTCAAAAGATACTTGTACTATATATAAAATACATAATTATATATATATATATATATATATACCTTAAAAACATATTTTCTTCTCTCCAACAAGTCTGAATGGACATTTAGATTATGTCAATCTATATGCTCACATCACATAAAACTAAATTATTTCTAATCTTTACCATTATATGGCATTCATACCAACAAGAATATCTACACAAACACATAATGAGAATTCAACCAATTATAAAGAAATAATTCAATACAGCACTTCAACCATAAATCATTCCAATACATTAATTTAAATACACAAAAGACCTTACATATAAGGGAGAGTCCTTGTTCAATCAATTTCCTGGTCTAAGGCAACCTTTCATACATGTCCAGTACTATAACAAAATCTTCTAAAAATTATGGGTTAGCTCTAAAACAACCCAAATTCATTTTATTTGATTAGAACAATAGAGAATTATTCCCATATGGTTCTTAATGCCACCTATTGAAATAAAATCATCCCACCCCTTACCTTACGGATGTTCTTTGATGAAGGTATGGATAAATTTTTTCTTTTCTGATTCTTTAGAAAAACTCGAACAATCCAATCTTCGAAACGATCGACCTAATCAATTAATCATGCCTAAACATAATTAATACTAAGGAGATGTTATTTTATACTCTTATATGTATATGTAAAAATTGAAATTTTCTAACTTTTGCTATAAAAGTCCGATTAACACAAAATTAGTTTCTATCATCTAACTAATATAAAAGGAATAAAATGGAAGTGAAAAACACTCACTTCACCTTCTCTAAAACCACATGGCAGCCAACCCTTGTGAGGGTTTAGTGCTTTTTAATCACATTTTTTAAAAACTAATTATGTAAACAATATAAGCCATGCATAGTCTACATATAGTACAAAAGAAAGCAAGTTTAAAACCAATAATTTTGAAGCAAAGTAAGACCCATTTTTACTGTTCATGACAGCAAAAAAAAAAAATTGGAAAAATTAAAATTTTAATTGGATGAAATGATAATTAACAAATAATTAAGCTTAATTAAGGATATATATTAAAAACATACCTTAAAACAAGCTTAAATGAGTGGAAGAAAATGAAAATGGTGAAAGGGAGAAGAAGGGGTTATGGACTTGGAGAAGAAGAAGGTTCACGTAAGAAAGTGGTCAATTTAGTCAAATAGGTAAAGAAATAATAATATAATAATCAATTATTTTGCTATTTTAATGTAATTAAATAAAATAATTATGAATAAAACTCAAAAATAAAAATAATTGATGTCAAACAATTAAAATAATTATAACATAATTTTTCACATCAATATCTCCTTGGTTATCACTTAAAAAGAAAAAGAAAAAGGAAAAAAACTAATCACACAGTTCCTGTTAACACATAAAACAGTATCAACCAAAATCTAAAAATAAGCAATAATTACCAAAATAATTATTTTTACACTCCAAATATTATTTCTAATTAAAAATATAAATTTTATTATTTAAAATAATTCTTCGTAATTAAAAATACTATTTTTATCCTCATTGAGCAATTTTAACCGGTATAAATGAGTAATTATTTTTATTTTTATTATAATTTTTTTTTCCAAAAAAATTGAAGAATTATAATCTAAATTATAATTATATTAACAAATTAACTGTTTAGAAAAACGAGGATGTTACATCTTTTTCCCCCTCAAAGAAATTTTGTCCCCAAAATTTACATACCTTATGGAAAAAGGTAGGGGTAATAGTCCCTCATTTTTCTCTCTAGCTCCCATGTAGCATCTTCATCACCAGTTTTACTCCATACTACTTTTACGAGCACAATGTCTTTTCCTCGTAATTGTTTAACTTGTTGATCCACAATACGTACAGGCGATGTTTCATAAGTAAGATTGTCTTTGAGTTGTATTATGTCAGGCTCGATAATATGAGATGGGTTAGGAACATATTTTCGAAGTTGGGATACATGAAACACGTTATGAAGATTAGAAAGAAATGGAGGTAAGGCAATTTGATAGGCTACAAGGCCAATCTTTTTCAAAATTTGGTAAGGTCCAATGAATTTGGGTGTAAGTTTTCGGGACTTCATCACCCTTCCAACTCCAGTTATGGGTATAACCCTCAAAAATACATGATCACCTGTCTGAAATTCTAATGGCTTTCTTCTTCGGTCATAATAGCTTTTCTGCCTGCTTTGTGCTGTCCTCATCTTCTCTTGAATCATTTTAACCTTCTCAGTGGTTTGCTGCACCACTTCCGGTCCCAAAATTAGATTTTCTCCAGTCTCATACCAACATAATGGAGTTCTGCACCTTCTTCCATACAAGGCTTCAAATGGTACCATTCCAATGCTTGAGTGGAAACTATTATTGTAAGTTGTTAGAGATTAGTTTTTCAATATTAAGAAAAGATTATATTTAATTGATTTGAGCAATTGTGCTTTACTTTATTTTAATTTTATTTTGCCTATTTTCATTTTTTATTTTTATTTTACTTTTTATTATTTTATAATTTTTTTTAAGTATATACTCACTCGTTCTAAGTCTTCTACAACTTATTTGATTCAGAGATTAAGAGAACTATGCGAAGATAAAGGAAAGAATTGAGAGAACAAAAAATGACAGAGTGATGAAGATTAATTCAAGATTACATCACACCCAATGCTGAAAGTGCTTTTGGTAGCATTGTGGCTTCTAATGCATTGATAACTATGATCCAGAACTCTACAGTTTGAAGGAATGCCTCATGAAGACCCTAACCTCCATTGACAAAGTTTCTTTGACTTATAGACACCATAAAGTACAAAAGGATCACAACTGATGCTATTAAACTTCACCTTTTTCCATTCTTTGTCACAGAAAAGGTGAATACATGGTTCACCATGCTCCCAGCAAGCTCTATCACAACATGGGAGGATCTAACTCAACAATTTTTGATAAAGTATTTTCTGTCATCTCGTTCTACTAAGCTGATGGCAGAAATATCCAACTTCCAGCAACATGAGTTAGAATCCCTCTTTGAAGCACGAGAACGATTTGAAGAACTTTTGAGGAAGTGCCTTCACAATGGTTTTCATGTATGGAGACAGATGCAAATTTTCTACAGTGGATTATTAGACTCCAACAGAGTCATAGTTGATGCAGCAGCTGAGGAGCCTTCATGAGGAAAGACCCAGATGAGATGACATCTGTCAATTTTTAATGGCATATAACTGACCATTATATGAATGGGAAAAGGGAGACTGCTCCAGTATACCTAATAGAGGGCAACAATCCTCTAACAACTCAGTTAGAAGCTCTGACCAAATAGGTGAAATCCTTATTGAAAATACAAGAACAATCAACAAAACCACCTACAGTTTCTTTGTGTGAGCACTGTGGCTCCTTAGGCCATGATAATAGCAGCTTTCGAGATACAAAAATAAAAGAAAAAGCTAATTTTATGGACAGTAATTACAACTTAAGATGGCAAAACTACCTTTCTAACTCTTTAGAGAATGACTTTGGAAGCCAAAATTCGAATATTTATTGCCCTCCTCACATGCAAAATTAATGTTACATGTGATTAGACAATTTCTTATATAAAGCAATTAAACAATATCTAATATTTTAGAAACATTATATGAGAGAATGAAAAAAATAAATTTTGCATATAATTTCTAGTGAGTCTATTAAATATTGTATTTTAATTGTAACTACTTATCATTTATATAGATGTACAGATTTTAGGAGAGTCATATAACATTTTTTAAACTTATTACTTCAAATATGTGTAAATGAAATAGATTAGGATCATTTGATAAGTTAACATATTCAACATAAATGTAACGTATAATTTATGACAAAAAAAATTATAAATAAAAATAATTTTATTTACATAAATTATAAATAATTTCACACGTATTTTTCTAATCCAACTAATTTAACATTGATATAGTTTAAATATTGTCATATATGATTATCACTCAAAAGTATCATGCGGTCAAATCTTGATTATCATATATTTAAAAGTTATTATATATTTTTTCTTTGAAACATACTATAAATCTACTAGTTACATTTAAAATAATTTAATTTCTTGAAAACTTCAATTTCAAGCAAATATTTTTTAAAAGTTTATGTAAGCTAATACCACACTTTTTGTATTATTTTTTTATTTTCTTCAAACATTAGATCTTTTATTTCGTAATATATCTTACTATTTAAATAAATAAAAACAACAATTTAACTCATTTTTTTAAAAATTATATTTCCAAATTTAATGACAATATATTACTGCAACGAAAAAAAATATTTTAACATTATTCAATATTAATCAACTTAGCATAAAATTCTTAAAATACAAAAATAAATACCCTTAACAAAAAAAAATTTGACAATTTATAAAATTAAACTTTAACATATGCAACAAGATTAAAATACAGCCAAATGATTAATAATTAACGAAGAAAAGCAAATTACTTTCAATAATTAACTAATGAGCAATTAAAAATAAAATGCTAAAATATATAGTTAATCTATATACAAGCGAAATTTATCAATACAGTGATGTAACACATGACATTCAAGTGTTGTATGGAACCTTTCAACAAATGTCAGTCTTATGTGTGGTGTTCTTCTGTTACTATGCCCAATGTAATACATGTGACATCTTTTCTTTTCCTTTTTACAATACTTTTACCCTAGAATTCATTCATTTCAGGATTTTGTTTTAAGATTTCTGAAAATTAATTTTTAAATTTTAACTTTGCAGGTAGAAGATTAAAGCCAGACCTTCCTTCAATAACGGTAGCCAATGGTCGTACCCTTTTCTACCTCGTACCATCAGAAAAGGAAAGTGACAAAAAGCGAAACCCAAAAAAGGGTGTTAGCGCGGAGAAAAAGGAGGTTATAATTGGAGTGTTGTTGCATGGTTTATTGGATCTTATCATTTAAATTTAACCTTAAATGCCAAAATGTAGCATACAAATCAGAGTGGTTGTTAAGATGGGAACACAATCCGAGTCAGTCAGGGTTTGTTTCAAACTACATTTCTCTATCTTTCTGGCGGCTCATATTTCGCTTCTCAAACTAACTATAGTTTACTTCAACCCTAATTGCTTAAAGCAACACTATAAATATGAGTGACCATCATCATTGTCTAATTTCGCAAAACCCCACTTGTTTAGGACGTGAACTTTTTGTTCTCCAGGAAATTTTGCCATTTTTAGAACATGCTGTGTAGTAAAAGTTTTTGATTTCCTTGTTCTTGAAGTTACTTTTCTACTTAGAAATTATTCTTTAATTTTATTTATTTTTTATTTTTATTTATTTTTATTTTGGCTGCACTATACTTGAATGGCTAAAAGGACTATTGATATGGTTTCTCCAAATAGAACACAGGGTCCACAGTACCCACCTATGGTTAGACAAGGCTCTTTATATAACCTCACCTTTGATGAGGTTCAGAGCCAGTTGGGGAACACAGGGAAGCCTCACCATAGTTTGAATTTGGATGAGCTTCAGAAAAATGTGATCTCAGCTGAAAGTGGACAACTTGTGGAAACCCCTTCATCTGATCATTCATTTATTCTAGGTAACATTGGTTTGAATGGCACATTGAGTAACAAAACCGTCAGTGAGGTTTGGAGGGGAATAGTTCACCAAGAACATGTGAACAAGTCAGTGGATACCCACATGAGACAACCTTCTTTGGGTGAAACAACCTTAGAAGATTTTCTAGCACGAGCGGGTGTGATACATGTGGGAAACCAGGACGATGTTGATGTTATTGGTGATACTCAGCCCCTGATGGGAATTGACCCAATGGTGATGCCTTCGCAGCATGAACATTGGATGCAAATGCAAATGCAAATGCAAATGCACATTCCTGCCATTAATATCAACCCACAACAACAACAACATCAACATCAACATGAACAAATAATTGGGTTGTGTCCAGATTTCAGTGTTACCAAGTCAGAATATGAGAACCCAGTTATGGATATTGGTTACTCAGAAAATTCACTGGCCATTTCAATGTCAAGTGCATGTTCAGATTCCAAGAGTGCTATTGTTGGGAAGAAGAACAAATACTCAGATGAGGTGCTGGAAAAGACTATTGAGAGGAGGCAAAAGAGAATGGCCAAGAATAGGGAATCTGCTGCAAGATCAAGGGCAAAGAAGCAGGTTAGTACAAAGACTCAAGCGTGCGGTTAGTGAAAGATATCTTCACAATCACAATGGAAATTTATACCATTCTTTATCTCATGCTTCAAGGAACATATAAATAAGTTAGAGAAGGACAAGTGTCGCTTGCAGAAAACGAATAGCTTGCTCATAAAGCTGAAGGTAAACTCAGCAATCCATTACAAAGGGGAAAACTAATTTTGTGATGTGTGTGTTGTCTTAATCCTTATGATCATTTCTGCATGATTGAATCGTACTAGTCATACTATATATCAGTAGTAGTGTATATTAATTTTGGCGTCAAAGTTGTACAAAGAAGTGGCTTGTGTGTGTGTGTGTGTGTGTGTGTTACACATGATTATGTCAAGAGATTTTCCATTTATTGGATGTGATGAAACTGTGTAATCCAACAGAAGAAAGAATGACACATTCTATTGCATGTATGTGAAGGAGATGTGTACGTTGGTAGAGGAGTGAGACCGGACAAAGCCACGATGGGGGGACGGCTATAACCCTCAAAACCCCAAGGCTCAAAAATGCTCTTCAACAATTTATAAAGTTTTTATAATTAATTTCATAATAAATATAATTTAATGCCTATCCCTTTCATAATTTTAAACTAAAATTAGTATATGATCATGCAACATGAGATGCCTGTCTTTATCCCTGATAATGATTTTTTTTTATTTAATTCATATTTGTAATACTTTTTTTTTATTATAATGGCATGACTATATTTTTAGTTTTCTAATTATAATCATGTTTGTAGGTTTACACTAAATTTTGGCCACTAAAAATATTGATACTTTTTACATTGATTTTTATAAAATTAATTGCTAATATTTAGTCTCTAATATTTGAAAGGAGTAAAAATTTAATTTCTATTGTTTAAAAAATTTGTTAGCATTTAGTCTGAGGAACTATTTTTATTTATCTTTTTAAAATATTATATACTAATAAATTTTTTATACTAATAAAATTTTTATAAAGACTAATTCTAAAAGCAATAATATTTATAGGGATTAAAAATTTATTTAAGTCCTGTTCATATTTATTAAAAAGAATATTTTAGGAAATTATAAGTTCATATATAATTTAAAATATATAATAGGGAAGACAATTATAAAAGTAGTACTAAATAACTTTTTCAGAAAAAAATGACGATAAGGAAAGAAATAATTGCACTATAATGTAATATAATACTACATTATTATTATTATTATTTTTATTTTTGACAGCTTAAAGAATAACTTGGTGATAGAAATTATGTAAGGATAATGATTAATATTTCACATTCTATTGATGAGTGTGAAATGACCAGAGGGTAAAGAGAGATACTTTGTAATTAAGATGTAGAAAATAGATGCAAGAGAAAATGAGCGTTAAATTAAAATGCAATAGCCCATTATGTAATTAAGATATTTCTTTACAAGCTTTGTTTAATTTTAGGAGCAAAGAAAAGGAAAGGACAAGGACAAGGAGCAAAAATTGCTTACCAAAATCAGGTCATAGCATTTACTTAAGGGTATATTTGATGGTCGAGTTTTGAAAGAATAAAATATTTTATTTTTAAATTAAGATAATTATATAATATTTATAAAAAAATAAAATTTTAAATTTATATGAATTTATTTATTTTATGTTACTAAATTGTGAGAATGACAAATGATTGTTAAAAATAAAAATGGTCTTGTTTTACTTTTAAAATTTTAACTCTTAAAAGGCATCCTAAGTATAGTTCATCATGTGATTTAATTAAAGGTTAGTCGATAAATTAGAATAAAACAAAAAAATTAAGTGATGAATTGTTGGCCTAATTTAAGTTTTATTAATTGAGACTTGATGCTCTTCACGCTCATATTTCAGGAATTGGATGCAAAGTATTTTTCAGGTTCAACTCTTACTCCAAAATACCAACTACGGCGTACCAGCTCAACAACATTTTAGCTACCATTAATTTTTCTGCAGTGCAAAATATCCAATAAATTCAAACCAAACTACCCAAGCCAAACCATATTAAAAAGGGTCCAATCCATTTATTTTAAGGCTAAACCTAAACCATTTATCTTGGTTTAGTTTGCCCAATTGATTAAGCTCAAATGGATTAAGAGTTCATCAAATCTAATCCATTTTGACGCTTTGGGTTCTTCACTAGTCACGCACGCGGACTACACACCATCACACTGAATATCTTCCAATGTTAAAAGAGATGGAAGGTTTAACTCTTTTGGTCCTTTTTGTGTTGTTTCGAAATTAAATTAGAGTTTTATTTTAATAAAACCTTCGCATTGCGAGTTGTACAGATGAAACTCTAATTTTAACCGATAAACAACACCAAAAATACCTGAAGTACCTCTATACCTAAGTTAAAGCAATAACTCTATCTCTTCTTTGCTAGAGCTTATTACCTTTGAAACCCACACCATCACCATCCTCAAATCACCCATTGGAGTCACCATCACAGCCATCACATGGTCACCATCGCCACTACTAAGCAACCACCTCAGCTACAAAGCTGAGCCTCCCATATTCTATCCACTCGTAAACAACATCACACACAAACCAATGGACCCTCCATTTTCTCGCAGAACCAGGTTTGCGGTGACTTGAGGACTAGCCATCCTCAATCCTATGCCACCATGAGCAGCCATCACCAAGCTCTCACCTATCATCATGAGTTGAGTCATTTTACAACAAGGTGTTTAGTGTTTGGGTTAATTAGTCTTGGTTAACTCAATTCGATTGGGGATTTGATTAGTTAATGAATCTGCTTTCATTAATTAGCTTGAGTTAACCCAATTAAGTTGAGGTTGAATTTTTGTGTTATTTTGAATTGGGCTCAAATTAACCCATTGAATCTTGTACTAAGTTTGAGATATTGGGCCATTGGTTTTTGAAATCAAAATCAATTTTGAATTTTAAAATATTTTAAAACTGATTCTAATTTTAAAATTAGTTTTGAATTCAAAAGATTGGTTTGAAGAAAAATTTTAAGATTTATTTTATTGGTTTTATTGGATTTTGGTTTGATTTTTTATAAAATTTAAATCATAACAATTTTTGTGTGGTTAAGATAGGATAAAGATTTCTAAGATAAAAAAAAAAATAGAATAAAATAAATATGAGCAAGATAGAATCTTAATTTATTTTGTTTAACATATATTATATATATAAATGACAAACCATTTTTATAAAAGATTATGATAGCAGAGAAGAATGGTGGTGGCTGTAATAATGATAGTTATTAAATAAAAAGCATTATCATCAAAGTTTATTATATAAAATTATAAAATGTATTGAAATCATAATTTTTATAATTTTAATAATATTTATTTAACTCAAAAAATATTTTTTTTAAAGAGAATTTTAGTTACAAAAATTATTAATTAATATATAAAAATTTGTTTACAAATTTAATATAACTTGACAAGTCTAGTTTTCAATCCTACATATTTTCAAGTGTAATGAAAAAAATTAAAATTACATAATTATAGCATAAATATTCTCAAACAAATTAATTAATTTACATTTTTTATAATAAATTTTTAAAAACAATAAAATTTATTTTATAATAAATTCACATTGCACCTATAATGACGTTGGTTCGCATATGTTTCAATGATACTATAACATATAAATACGAAAAAATTACATGTTAATATTACAAATCATTACATTTTAATTAAAGTATAATTTTAATTTTAAAAAATCATATTGTGTGAGATTTAAAATAATATACGTAAACAAACATTTTTATGATATTACAAATACGTAAGATTAAAAAGTTATACAGCGATACTATAAATCGATGTAAGAGTTATTTTTATTTACCTATTGCTATTGTTATAATAAAGAAAAAAATTAAGGAATAAAATTAGAAATTTACTAGGACATGTTATAATATATAGAAAAAATTAACATTTACGTATCTATGAACTATAATAATAACTATAAAAATAACAACATAATAAAACAAAGGTAAAGTTGATATTACATTTAAATTTTTCACATTTATTTACTTCCATCATTATCATTATTATGAAAAATATAATAAAAAAATAAAATTTAAGACAAAAGTTGAATACCAAAATAAAATAATATCTATTAATATGACATTAACAATAACAACGATAATGATAAAATAAAATAAAAATAAAAATTGATATGCTGTTTTAGTATGAATTTATTTACTTTTAATATATCCTATTGTTATTAATATTATTTAATTATAATGTTGTTTGGACTGACGGTGATTAGAGCAGTAGTAACGCGATACTAACAACAATGCTTGAGATGTTACCATCGTGCAAAGAGAATTTAGTCTTGTTATTTTAGTTTTTTATTCATATTTATACAAATAACAATAACGTTAATAAAAATAAGGTAATTAAATACAAATAAAAATATTATATTAAATTTTATTTTATTTTTGTTATTATTGTTATTACAATAATAATAATAATAATAAATAATAATTTATTATTGTAATTAGTAAAGTTGTAGTTGTTTTATCATGTTGACGTTTTTATTTTAAGCATTTATAAAGTTAAAAATTAAGGACTCACCATTCAAATTAACAAAATTACTTATATTATTGAAATTATAATATTTGATTATAATATAAATTATCAAATAATTTACATAATCTTAAAAATTGTTTTACTGTCCATTCCTTTATAACTTCGTAGAATGTATCACGTAATCTCGGTAAATATAAATAATATTTTCATAACAAATAATACAAACAAGTTAAAAAGAAGTTTTATGTCTTTCCCGTCTCCGGTCATGCAATTCTAATTTCTTACAACTCTATTATTCTAATTTCTTACAACTTTATTTTAAAAATATAAGTTTTTATCTTACATACATATTAAACAATATAACAAGAATTTTATTATTAACTTTTACTAAAAATTAAATATGACGAATATTTAATTTTACACAAATAGATTAAGAAACAATATTATAGGCACTACCAAACGAATATAAAAATTAAGTCAAATAAAAAAAATTAAATCAATTAAAATTCTTACTAATGTACATACAACTCAATAGTAGTATTTGTGTTATAAAGTCAGCTCTAACGAAGACGAAAAGTAGCGCGCAGAGAGAGAGAGAGAGAGAGAGAGAAAATTGGAGAAGAAGTGAAGGGGCATAAATTGCAGATTATTGGCAGGTATCGATCAAGCCAAAATGTTGCGTTACACATTTTGTTAATTACCGTTGGATTTATTGACAGATTTTGAGAATACAAATATTTGAGCAGTGTACAAAATTTTCAAAAAAAACTCAACGGTACTTAATGAGAAACACAAATGTTCACAAAACCATCAATAAGCACGTTGGTAATCATAGAAAAATTAAATTTAAAATCAAACGAAAATTTTGTCTGTGAATCATTTGAGTGAAATTAAATAAAAACATGTCAATAAATTTGGCGTCATTAGTAACTCAAAGAATATTGAAAAAAATCATTATCTAGGTAAATTCTGTAGTCCTCTTTAAAATAAGGGATATTCGATATTCTCTTATATAACAGAATTAGTAATTTATTTATAAAAATGTAAATACTTTTTAATTTTTAAAATATTAAAGAAATCATACCCCTTAAAGAGTATATAATGTCCTTTTAATTTTAGGAGTACTGAACAAGCACTACTAAAAGATACATAAAATTCACAAAACTGTAAAAAAATACGTAGACAGCTATTATTAATATTGGCGTCAATATTTTGACTTTCTAACTGTGATAATTGTTATTATTTTTCTTTTAAAGATTATTATTTTTAATATTATTGTTACTAATTTTTTATTTTTTATTTTTATTTTTATTACTTGACATATAAAAAGTATCTTGTTTTCATTTTTAGTAATATTCTTAATATTGTTATTGTTACTATAATTATTATGTATAAGTTACTTTTCATGTACACATATTTTAGTTTTATTTGTTTTGATGATTCTAGATTTTTATTTTTGTAAATATTTTTTGTTAAAAATTTAATTTGGATTAGACTTATACTTTCATTATTATTTTGAAAGATGACTTTAAGTTTCAACTAAATTTTAGTTCTAATTATTATCTTACTTAATTTTGTTCACATCTCA